GCGCACTTCGTCCAGTGCTTCGAGGTGCTGCAAAACAAAGTGCACGTCCTGAGTAGCCCCATGTTGCTGGTTCTCATGATCAGAGAGGGCATCAGAGACCACTTTGTTGGTTGCCGCAATATCGCCCGGGCCAACCCCCTCCACCCAGTTAGAGTAGTGGATAAACTCAGATATCTGCTCGGCCTCTGTCATTAACGGCTCAGCTCCCGCATCGTTGTTGAGAAGCGAGCGCAGTTTCTCAAGGCATGCTTCTGGCGTGTATTGACGCTGATGGTCCCACGGAAGATGCGGCCACTCTTCGACAGGCGCAATGACCATCTCGTGGATCGAGTTCTCCGATACCTGCTTGGCCTCTGCTATTAGCGCCTCGGGCCCTCCGGCATCATTGCCAAAGAGTGCTCGTGGTCTGTCAACACTCTGACAGGACCACGGGTGCGGCCGTCGAGGCGTTTTCAGTGCTTCACCCATGCCATCGCAGTGACCAAGTCATATTATCATGCATAAGGTTCAATTCAAGATCACGGTATCGTCATTTTGGCCGAACTGAGATATGAGCCGTTTTTGGTAATTCCTGGGGTGTATGCCAGGCTCCAGCACGTTTGGAGGCCGTTTGGAAGCGCGTAGGTGCCACAACAAAGAGAAACAACATTAGTGACAAGCTTATGTGTGCCAGGAATCGGGGGGTCTAAGTGTAGGTGTGTATGTGTGAGGTCACAGCAGCTATGGGGTTTCCAGTGGGAAGACCCATACTGACCGAAACTGAGTGTGCGAAAGCAGTGGGAGTGCTCAAATGCGTGGAAGCACGGATTTGACGCTAACAGTGTATGGGCCAGAAAACGACCTTTCATCTTCCAAGCCTCCTGCTCAAAACGCGAGCTCAATTGCTCCGCACTGTACGCAAAGGGGCAGCCATGGCGCGCCAAAAATATTGCGGTGACAACTTTCGCCGGTTGTCTCCTGTCTTTGAGGCCACCCTGGTCTGCGGCAATCAGCATAACTTTGCGCTCCCACAAGCCAGCGCCTCCGTTCCCTTTACTAACGATAGCCAACACACTCGCAAATCGCTGATTATTCATAGACCCACTGGGCCTCTAATTTCTCTTAGGGGGTATCTCGGCGAATTGCTTGTGATAGCTTTTTGAATATAATATAATATTATTATCCCCTTTATCTTAAAACAATATCTTGCTCATTCTTCTTTCAGCCAGGCGGATGAAATGGCAGGCAGTGTTTTGGTCTTGCTGTGCCGTCCTGGGCAGCCACGCGTCTCACTTTGGACTGAATGGCAGCCCTGAATTTTTGCCGAATTTTTGATGCTGTTGGCGTCAAGATTACTTCAAAGTTTATCGCGAGAAATGATCATTGCATGATGTTGTTGCCAAAGACCAGTTTCGAGTTGTAACGAAGCGCGTAGGTTTGAGCAAGCGTTTTGAGAGAGGTTAAAGACGTTTGTCGGAATGGAGCGCTTTGGTGGTGTCTTGAGGTCAATTGAATCGGCAAGCATTACAGTGACTAGACTAGGTGCACCTTTAGCTGGAGAGCCGCTCAATCTCAAGGATAGGGAAAGTGCACTTAGCCCGACTGCAGGTGCCGCAACAAAGGGCAACAACAGTCGTGACAAGCTTAGCGCCCCAAGGCATGTGCCAGGAATCGTGGGGTCTAAGTGTAGTCGTTTTGTGAGAGGTCACAACAGCTATGGGGGTTTCAGTGGGAAAACCCATAACGACCGACACTGAGTGTGTGCGAAAGCAGTGGGAGTACTCAAATGCGTGGAAGCACGGATTTGACCCTAACAGTACAGCTCCAGAAGCCTGTCGGACCGATTGGGGCGGCCCCTCCCGGCACTGGCGCTCGCAGGAGGTCGACCAGGCTGCCAAGTTGTTGACGGGTCAATCGACGAAGGCCATCGACCTCTAAATACTGTTGCACTTTCAATGGACGTCATCGAATCTGCCATGAGCTGAGGTAGGAGTTGGAATACACGATCTGCCTTGGCTCGATGCTCGACCTATAGACGTAAATACCACTGTCAGCTGTATGCAGGGAAATGTCGTTCCAACACAAAAGTGTCATACAGTGAAGCGGTTCTCAACGCCAAGGTTCACCAATGTCTTTGACAAACGCGGCTTCCATCGTGTCCCGCCTTTGCAACGCCTGACCATGCCTATTTACCTCGGCGATATTGCATGCTTGTGTGAAGCTTTCACACACCATGCCGACCGCCTGCTAGCCGAGGCGGGGTGGCAGCCACGTAACAGCGGAATCAGAGGGGATGAGCATCCCAAAGCTGGCTAAATCACACTTAATAGTGTAAAATTGTATCCCTCGTTTCGATTTCTGAAGAGCCACCAAGGCGCTGCAGTTTATCTTTCTTGCCTGACAGCTCCAGCTTCCAACAGAGGAACAGAGAAAACTGTTTTTCTGAAATGACTGAAGAGAAGGAAGAGAAACAGATTTTTCTTTTCAAATGATAAGATTTGTGTCAGGCTCCAGCACGGATTTGACGCTAACAAGATTCAGTGGCCAGTGGATCGGTCGACTCTGCACACAGAAGGAGGCGGGAAACGTGCGCAGCGGGAAGTTGTACGGGGGCTACCCCCGTACCTTGCCAACCGAGGCTCCTCCCCACACTCAATTGCTCGGCGTGGGCGTCGGCAGCTGGCTGGGGCAGCTGAGACCGCTGGCCGCGGTCGGGGTTGTGGGTGGGGCTTGGCGCCAGGGCGCAAGTTCAGGCGCGGCCTTGAACGCATTTTTTTGGGGATCGTAGTTGCTCAGGGTTTCCCGCTGGGGGTTGTAAATGTAGCGTTCGATGTCTACCATGTAGTTGCTGACGGCTTGCTTCGATTGGTCGCGAAGCATTTTAAAAAAGTGTCCGAAGGGCTCGGGGATAGGAACTGGTCCCTGCTTAACCTCAAGGTCACGGCGCCAAACGGCCCATTCGCTCGCTGCTTGGTAAATGGCAAAGCCAAACTTGAGAAAAGTCTTGTATTCTTCTTCCCCAGGGTAGCCACCGTAGTTCATTTGTTCCATTCGGTTCTGGAAGAAGGTCATGTAATGATGCCGAAAATGGTCAATGGCTTTCAGTTCCTCGGGAAGAAGCTTAATGGGCAGTTCAGGCACCGTGTCAGCTGGGAGGGGAAAGGGTTCCAGCTTTTCTTGGCACTCTCGGAAGCGGCTGAAGGCAACAGCAAAGGTGGCAACGTCCCACGGCTTCTGACAGGGCGTGCACGTCTTTTCTTGGCATAACTTCTGCACTCGTTCAAGCCTGGTGCGCAAATCATTGTAAGTTGTTGGCTCCTTTTCGAAGTCCTCCCAGGGGTTCCTGTCAGGCCCGCCGAAGAGCTTTTGCGCGATAGTAGGACCCAGAACATTGGCGATTGTATCACTCACAAACAGCAGAAACGACATGATGACGGGTCGAGGCGAAGAAACAGGAGCAACTAGGACAGGGAACGTGTGGCGGATGAGGGTTCGAGGGCAGAGCAGGAAGTCATACACTGCACTTCGATTCGGAAGGAAGAAAATGACGGTCAAAAAGGTCTTAACCCGCACCAGTCGCGGACTCATACACATTGTGTGTATTGAAATGTCCGCGTTGTTCGTGTGAAAAACGCGATCATCTCCAGAAACACAACTGTCTCAATTCATATCTTATTGGCTTTGGTCATGTGAAAATTGAAAAGTGATATCGTTTAACCCAAGCACTTACATGTAGTGACTTATGTATCTGAATTTACCATGGAGACATGGATTCGTTTTTGATCGCACTCCCCTAATCGAAAAGAGTACGAATCGTCGACCTTCACGCGCCTTCTTGCAAGGTGTAGTGGGCCCGCGCAGCTGCGGGAGGGCGTCGCCACTGATTCGTGCAGAAATTCCCGTAAGGCGTGCGGCGCTTATGCCTCGCTCTCCGGTAGGCCCCGCTTTGCCTGCTCCCAGGTCACGCGCTTGACAACGTCCACGATTGCCCGCGTGTGGAACGCGGCCATGTTGTGGTTTCGGCCAGCTCACGTGGTCAGCCACGCTGTGAAACTCACGGGCGACGGCACGAGTCGTTGGTTGGCGGCGGCCTTGGTGAGCGTTCCGGGCAATGTCAATGAGAAGGCGCATGCCCCACACTGCCCTCTGTACCTTGCAACCGCCCTACCGCTCTCCTACTTCACACATGCAAGGCTCGGGACTTTGGACTTTTTTGATCGCAAGCAGACACTCCGATCCGGTGGCGCCGGTGAAGGCTCCAAAAGGCACACAGTGGGAACGGGCGTCGTGCGTGTGGACCTATAAGGCTGCCGACAGTTTTGGGTCCAAGGTGCACAAAGCTTCAACACTACATTGGTGGTGACCAAAGAGGAAAAAAAAAAAAAAAACGTCAGAAAAACAAGCTCGGCCAGGTAACCATGCATGCATGCAGAAAGAGAGAGAGAGCGCGCAAAGAAGAGAGAGCGCTGCTTGCTGGTCCGGACCGGCGGCGGACAGAGTAGTACTGTGTCAGTGTCGTACTTGTGGCGCCGTTTAGGACACGCCAATTCAAAATGCATCGTACTGACACACAGACCACAGGGCAGAAAAGGATCCCAGGCTTGAGAGGATTTCGATACGAGTCGTCGACTGGCACCTCAACTACGTTCAAGACGGCAAAAAGTCAGGATCCATGTCGTCAGGTATGCGCAGGGTCACCACCAGCAGCCGCCTGTTGGCCTTGTTGTTTGACCAGGTCGGGGGTGGCATGCCATGCAAGTTTCGTTTTCCAAGCCGCGTGCCTGATCGACCATATTGCCTGGACTCGTGTGCTACCCGTCCCGCCGGTCTGTCTCCATTCCCGCGTCGTATCATTTTTTCCTTCCGGTTTGGGCCTCACTCCCACCCACCCGTTTTGTGACCAGATCACAAGACTGTCTGTGCGTGACGGCTGGTTGCCCACTGTGCCTCAAAGAGGTCGTGAGCTTCTCTAGTCCGCTTTGTGTCCGGCCATGGAGCAGGAGGCGGGTGCAGCGCCTCGGCGCCGCTCATCCTTCTCACCTCTTGGATGGATGCGCAAGTCTCGCCGTTCGTCTTCCTCTGCAAATGAGGATCAAGAGGCGAATCCCCCCACAGTTGGCGGAGGTCGGAGCCTCCGCCGCGGCTCGTCTCGGCGCAAACGGCAACACAACCAAGACAGTGCGTTGCTCTTCGTCAGGCACCCTCCCATGCCCCTCGTCCCAGCGTTCTCACCCTTTGTTTGTGCTCTCGCCATGGCTTCAGAGGTCATGGTCTCCATCTCCGAGACTCCGGACGATGCAGCATCATCCGTTGTCGGGCCGAACTCAAGCCCATCGGCCCACCCAGCGCAGGCAGGCGCGCCGGGGCAAGATGCGGGCGCCAAGGCAGCCCAAAGCAGCGCTGCGTCGCCAAAGTCGGACCGACGCCGCTCTTTTACCCGCCTCTCTTTTCGGCGCAATTCGCTTGTGACCTCACCCACGGTTGGTCTTTTGGGCACGTTGTGTGCCTGTCTGTTCGCCCTCTTGAGTGTGCCATGCCCAATGCATCCACTCACGCAGCCCGCCTTGATCCTCCACTTGCTTTTTGCCTGTGCAGAAAACCATCATGGTGGACCGCAACCCCACCGCTTCTCGCTCCCGCTCTGCAACCACCAGCGTGGCCTGCCGTTCTGTGGCTCAATCCCTCGACGCCAACCTCAGTCCCCCACAGTCGCGGCGTAGGCGCAGCAGTTTGCGAAGCCGCCGCTCTTCGGTTGGTGATGGCGGCAATGGCAAGGGCTTCCCTGAAAACCTTTTCACCAACCGCCATCAAGCCGCGAAGAGCAAAACGCTGGCCGTCTCACAAGGTCCGCTGATCGACACGGAGCTGCGGCCGGAAGAGAGTCGCGTTAGCCCCAGTCCTGCCATCGAAGAACGCATTCTTCCTTCCTCCAGCAATGGTGCTTTGACAACCGCCAGCACGTCCAACGGCTCAAACCGTCGCCCCAGCCTCGGTCCGTTATGCCACACTCTGATCGTGCTCCAAAACGCGCATATGTTCTGATCCTTGTCGGCCTCCAACGCACTCCTTTCACAATTGCCCAATTTACTGCTTCTTGACGGTGACCCCGCAGATCCCCTGCGCAGCTCGCCCTTGCGCGATGGACCCCGAACCGGCTCCCTTCGGTGCGTTGACACCGCTTTGCTTTTTGGGGTTGCCAATGTCACGCTACAAACCTTGTGAGCTCCCGCAAAAGGTTGCTTGCGTAGTTCTCATCTACATTTCGTTTTGGCGTTCCCAGATTAACGCCACGCGAGTCACCGAATCTGCGCCAACAGTACGTTATTCTTCCGTGACCGAGTCCACTGGGTAGCCCACCGTTTCCGCTTATTCCCAGAACATCTCTTTCACTTTGCAATACTTTGTGGCACGTTAAATTGCCCAGGCAACAAAAACGAGCCAAAATTCGGTATCGCGCAGTTGTTGGTCGTTGGATCCGATCAAAATCAACCACTCAGGGTCAGTATCCGTCAGCACGTGGCTCTCGGATGCCGGCTTTTTCTGCATCTTGCTCCATTCTATACTTGCGTCGGTTTGCACGACTCCAGCGTATTCCTGACCGTCGCCTATCGTGCGTAGAAAACGTTGAGCTGGAGGAACTTTGTCAACTCCTCTCTGGCCTAGGCATTGCTGATAGTCACGTGCAGACCGTGTTGCGTGATGTCCTCTTTCCCACTTCGACCGCCGATGTCGAAGCAGGGACGCCCCCCGTGCCCTTGGCAGTCACGGCAGTAGCTCAACTGCTCATGGACCACGAGGAGGCCATCATGACCCACTCTCGTCGCTTTAGCGAGGACGCCGATGCAACCAGTCTGGCGGGCGAATCTATGTTTGACTTTCAAGGGGACAGTTCTCATAGGTCGGTGGTGCCTTTGTGCAAACGCTCACCAATTCTCGTGCTGAAATTCACACCGCGCGCCTAAACTTGCTGATGGTCGGCTCATCGCAACCCGCTTTTGCGCTCAGCTTGTTGGAGGCCCAACCGGACTTGGCCGATGCCCGCCGCATGGTCAAAATGCTCAAACACGAGAAAATGGCCACCGAGTTGGCGCACTCCAATCGCTTGGCGACCCTGAACCGAGAGGTCGAGGCGCTCAAGCTTCGCAATGCCGATCTGGAGGCCAAGTTGGAAATAGCATCGCAAGGTTGGTGCCTCGTTTGGGCTTCATGGGTCAGAAGCAAACTTACGGAGGCAAATATTGCTGAGTTCGGATCATCCATTGACCGGCATATGATTCGGCTTGATGCCTCCCGATGCAGCCGGGGCTGATCCGTTTGCAGTCGACACTGATCTGAGCGAGAATCCAGTTTGCACAGCATCGACAAACACAGACAAGGGCTCACCCAAGCGCAAGCTACCCGTGCGGCGTGGTTCACAGACCTCGTACGTACATTTCCTGCTGGCTGACCAAAGCCTTCCTTGACCCCCAGGATGCCCAATCCTGCCGGTTTGTACTACCACCTTGCTCCTTCCTCACAACACCTTTCTGGATATGTTTGTCATGACAGGCATCGGCGTCTCTCCAGCCAGTCCACCAGCGAAGGTTTGTTGCTTGCGATCAGACATGCTCCTTCATCCACCAACCGCAAGATGTCTGCTCACGATTTGGCATTTAAATGCACAGGCACATACTTTATCAACATGATTCCTCTTCCTCCCAATCCAACAACCGTGCCTGAGGGACCAGTGACGGTGGAGCGGGCCACGTCAAGCACACAGACTGTTGGCGACTTGTCGGAAGCCATGGGCGCCATGGATGCGCTCAGCCAAGACATACTGCTGGACTTTGCCTCTTCTGGTGAGTGCATCTGCAGCTCGGGCAGCAATAGGAATGATGAGGGTCAGTCACAGGTTCCTTATTCTTCTTGTTGCGGGTGTAACCTTTGCAGCCAACACAAGCGGTGACGTGCTGGATCGCCTCAGAGCAGCGCACGAGCAGCTCGTGGCCATGCAAAGCAACGAGGCAGAGTTGGAGCAGCTACAGGACGTTCATCTACATGCAGGGTTGAGTCACGTTTCCAAGATTGTGCGTCAGCATCCCCGGTTACGCGCAGCTCTCCTGGCAAGTCAGCAACATATCCATACCCTCAAGGAGCAAGTGACGGACCTCAAGCAGGCACTTGACATGCAACGTCAGACAGCAAAGAGCTCCATTCAAGTTCTTGAGGTAAATCTCGCACTTCTCTGCTTCATGTCCTGTCTGCACCTGCACCTTGGACTTGCCTTCACCCGGTCTGTGCCCCTACTTCCAGCATGGTCTGACCAGCGAGGCAAACGAAAAGTGGTCCATCCTCAAGTCGCACATTGACACGCAAAGCGAGGCGCTTGCTTCTCTGATTGAGAGCACGGCCAGTATCAAGGCCAAACTTAATGCAACTCGTGCACGCAACAAAGAAATGAGTCTGGAGCTCGAGCGGGTGGGTAATGGCCTTGCTGCCGAGCTCAGTTGCGGGCGTTGCAAGCCTTGACTTGCCTGCTGGCCGACACACCCGTGCTCATGTGGGATTTGCTATCTGTGGCCTATAGTTTCAAAACATGACGGATGTGGATGTGGACATGCTGCTGCTGGCACGTCAGCATTACATGGAGCTCTGCCGTAAGGGCATGGTGGTTCTGCAGCAGTTTAATAGCGTGGCCACCACCTTGGTCTCTGGCAGCTCAAGTGGTATGACCCGACTGAACTGTTTTCTTGCTTTCTCCCTCCCCGTGGTTTTCATGTTTGTCGCAAGCGCAACTCTATCCCGAACCCCAACCCCACCATCGTGGTTTGATTGTCGCGGCTCCTTAGACGTCCAAGTGCCGGTCACAGCGCTGCGCCGCATTCTGAAAGGCATCTTTGAATTTGAGCAACTTTTGGTGCAAATGCACGTGGATGAGGCGGACGCTGAATTGGAAGCGCGACCGACAATGACGGAGGCTGAAGCCGTGCCCGACAAACTTGAAGGAATGCCGACACCATCGGCCATCCCTGCGCATCTGGTCAGCCGTGATTCAGCGTCGCTGTTCAACGCAGAAGCAGAGGATGCAGACGGTCCTGGCCGAGCCCGCAACCAGAGCATTTACAGCTTGGCCCAGTCCCCATCACCGTCGCGGGCCATCATGTTTGCTGCGGCACGCTCAAGCCACGAAAACCTTGTTGCTGATGTAGCAAATTGCCAGCGCACGACCACCCCATCCCGGCGCTCCTCGGCAGGCGATGACTGCGGTGACAGGCTCATTGCTTTGCAATATAACCAGAAGCGGCAACCATCTTTTCACGAGCGCTTGCACATGCCGTCCAACTCGGACGAGGGCACCACTGGGGCTGTGGCAGAGGCAGCTGGCTCAGTACCGGGCCGCCGGCGAAGCTCGGACTTGGAAAGTCGGTCAGATTGGGTTTCCCCCGTACCCATGGCCATGTCTTCCAGCGATCTCGGCTCGCGGCCTAGCACACGCCATACTTCACGTCGTGGGTCACGGTCATTTATGGACAGCACCCCGCGGCGCAAGCGCTCTTCCATCGGCGTTCACTTCATGGATGATGATCTGGATGAGTTTAGCGATCATTTCAAGCTTCTCCAAAGCCTTGGTGGCTCTTCATCGCGCCCCATCTGGAGTCAGTTGGAGCCGCTTATTGCGGAGAGCGATGGTCGGCCGTCCGTGGATCTGGATTTGATGGCGAGCCAGGACAATGCGAATGGAAATGATCACAACGCCAAGACGCTGGATACGCCAGACTTCGCGGATGGCACGGTTGTGAATGCGTCACAGCTTGATGATGGACTCCCTTTTAATATTCTCACGGCTGAGGATGCCTTGCGCATGGTGGATGAAACACGCCTCGGCATTGCGCCGCGCAAGGAGCATGCACCCAGCTCTGTACATGAGCAGGTTCTGGCCACTCTGGATGACAGTGAGTGCCTGGACATGACGGGCATCACGGTCGAGGAGCTACGCGAGCTAACGGACACCGTCACTGTTTGAGAGATGTCAAAGGGAGAAGATGGGTGGTGTGAGGCGCTCTACTGTTGTTGGAGCAACGAGGACATTATTCTATTCAAGAGACATTGAATCTTTTTTCTTTTTGTGGTGAGGCGATGTTGACATGGAGGGAGGGCTTTGCGCCACGCCAAATTGAGGCAAATAGTTTACCTTCCTCTCCAGCTGCAACATCGACACGAGAGAATACCAAACGGATCGATTAATAAGTGTCGCGACATTCAAGATTATATTCATTTGGGCGAGGAAAGCCATCCGAATCAGGTCGTGCTTTGATGGGAAAGGAGATGTTGTTTGAGGTCGGGCATGGTCCTGGGAGTGTAAGGGCAGAGGTGACAACGCAATGGGCTCTTCAGAAGAGCCTCGTAACTGTGCAGCACCAGCAGCAGCAGGCAGGGCAACGAAAGAATTGAGTCTGCAGGCTGCAGTTGAGGCGTAGGCGCCACCAAACTTACTGTGCACGGTCAAATTGGATGTGGCCACGCTCATTGAGGCGGTTGTACACGTCTGAGGTTGCATGGTCGAGAAAGGCCGAGATTTTGTGAGAAACGCTATAGAACAACCGCCCTTCCCCCCCCCCCCCCCCAAAAAAAAAAAAAAAAAAAAAAAAAAAAGAATATACAAAACAAAACAGGCCTTGCTCAGGCTTTGCGCTTACCTTGGGGAGACACGAAAAAGTCTGTGGTGAACGAGTTCCAATGCTTTTTGTTTTTCAAACCCTCAGCCTCGAAGTCATTGGAGATGAGGTGAAGGTGGACTTGGCTGTTGTCATGGCAGTGGTAGACAGCGCATGTGGGAGGTGAGGGGTCAGCACAGTAAGCTACAAGAGGACAGTGGCGACGCAGGTGCTGGCGTACTGCATCGAAGGCACGGCATGAAAGCCCATTCGAAAAGAGAGTCGCGCGCCCGCTCCTTTTTGCCGCTTTTCTTGTCGGCGGCGCAGCTGCATTATTTTACGGCACCCCATGGCCGCAAGATGCTAAGCAGCACAAGTTCAAGGAGCGGCAGCATGGAGGTGTGAGCCACTCGCCTCATCTTGATCGCTGCACTTGAGCAGCAGGGCCATCCAAACCTTAATGATGTGCGCTTGCGACGCAGCAAGCACGCCGAGATCGCGAAGTTCTGTTTTGGGTAGAATGAGATAATGGTGTCTTGCCTATGCAATGAAGCGGGGCCGGAAAGCGGGCGCGGTCAGCTGCGAGCTCTTGTTGTTGTTGTTTGAATGGCTTTGACCACTCACTTTTGGAAACTTGTCAGGAATTAGAATACAGTGTTCGTCCTCGTGAACGATGAGGTCACGGTGGCGATCCGGGTGGCGAACCAAGTCGGAAAGGGCGCTTTGCCAGCCGCCCCGGGCGTGTCGAGACGGTTTGGTCTCACTTGACCTAATAGAGCAACGGGCCGAGCGCAAGAACGCGACGTTCTGGTGGTGAGGATCATGGGTTGAGCCACGGTGATTTGTGGTGGTATATGCGCCGGCGTGTCAAAGCAAGCAGCGTCTGTGAAGACGGCAAGACAGCCCGATTCGCCTCGGCGGGTGCCAGACGCCACAACACCGGTACGTGGCGCGACTGCAGGCGACATACGTTTGGGATTTGGCAGGGCTGGGTCGACGGGCATCACTCTGCATGAGCTGTGACAGAAATGACTTTGTGGGTGTCGGGCGCGCCGGGTCGGTGCTATCGTCCAGAGTCATTGGCACTTGAGGGTCGGGCAAGGGTAGGTGGAGGTCAGGGGAGGCTAGGTTGTCCATGGCGTGGTGGGGTTTGCCTCTAGCTGAGGCGGAGTCGTCGCTGGTGGGGTCGTGTGCTTCGGGGGTTGAGGGGATGCGCTGGGCACTGGTAATCAAGCTAGGGTGTAGCTCAGGGCTCAGGCTTGGGTCCTGCTTCTGGGGCTGGGAGGAGTCAAGTGTGCTACCATCGGGGGTGATGAAGGCAGGTTCTGAGTTGTGTTGCCTATCACAGCAGGTCAACCTTGGTATGTGAGTTTGACCAACTCTGCGTGTACTATCATGCAGATTGAGAGCGCGTCTCAAGGGTCACACACGTTGGCAGATGAACGGCAAATGCCGTCACGTCTGGATCTTCGTAAAGAAAATAAAAGATATCACCCGAGTGAAGCTCGATGGTGTGACCTAACAACAATGAACAGGCGTGTGAGGGGCTCTGCCGTCAACGCGGGCTGGCGGGGCCAATGCATGCACTGGCAATCAGCTCAGTCACCTTGAGGTAAGGCATGCAGGGCGCGATCCCCGGTCGCTGTACTGATGGCACGGCAAAAGCCACAGGGGCGATGGCCCACTGTTGTGACACGCAGGGAAGGGGGCTCGAGATGAACCTCAAATCTGGCCTGCTGGCGCGAACACCGCCGCAGGGTCAACCTACGCCCCCAAGCAAAGCGCCGCAACACAAGCACCAAGACGCTGTTACGCGCAGTGTGTAGACAAGGGCCACACGCACGCACGCGCGCGTACGGAACAAGCGTCGAAGCCACAAAAAAAGAGCGCAGAGACCTCGAGAGCTCAGGAGTGGGAGAGAGAGAGAGAGAGAGAGAGAGAGAGAGAGAGAGAGAGAGAGAGAAAGAGAAAGAGAGAGAGAGAGAGAGAAAGAGAAAGAGAAAGAGAGAGAGAGAGAGAGAGCTCAAGAGCTCAAGAGAGAGAGAGAGAGAGAGAGAGAAAGGAAAAAAAAAAAAAAACCTCACTTGAAAAAAAAAAAAAAAGATGTTTCAGGTCAGAGAGAGAGACGATGAAGCTTATAGCAGCAAGGAAGCGCGAGTTGGTTGGCACAACGGAATGGGGGATCGGGCGTACTCTGTGTCGTTGCCGCGGCCCAGGAGTGCAGGGTTTTGGGTGGCAGTGAGGGTTATCACCACGGGGGCGCCACTGGGTGTGACACGGGTCAACTTGGCCAAGGGGCTGTCCGCAGCCATGGCGCACAGACGGGAGCTTGCGTGGGGGGAGGATGGGGCGCTTTGGTCACCGCGCCGTCCGGATGATGCCGTTTTGGCCCGTGCGCCTCCCCTCTCGGGCACCACAGAATTGATCCCACATCGGCCCGCCTCTTCCAACTCGCAACAAGTGGTGGTGGCACGCTCAAGTGCCCGACAACTCGCAAAAAAGGAGCCACAGGGATGCATACATGCAAGCGACTATAAGGATATTATTATCGGTTTATCGGTTTATCGTTTTTACTGATTTATCGATTTATTACAGTCAAAGTGTAACAAAAGTGTGACTCACCGCTGGCGTTCCAAGCTGTCGTGTGTGTGTGTGTGTGTGTGTGTGTGTGTGTGTGTGTGTGTGTGTGTGTGTGTGTGTGTGGGCTATCTTTGGCGTTGGTATCGACTGGTGTTGCTCCAGACTCAAATCTCTTCTGGGATGAGGGATCACATCAACATCTCTGGTTTTTCATTGATTCTCTTGTACTGTTTGAACTCTTAGCAGTTTGGCTATCAACCTCTCTCTGCTCGCTCGCTCGCGTTTCAATTTTTTTTTTTTTTTGCAAGTCGACGGTACAGGGGCATTCATTGATTGGACGGCGGACGGATAGCGCACGTTATCGAGGCCATTGGGAGGTCATTAGCACAAAGGTCGGTGGAAAGACGCGACACACTGCCTGCTGGTTGCGCTCTTATTCGTTCTGGTCCGTGGTTCAACTCATGAGCATGGTCTTGCGGTCCGGTTCGACAGCGTTCGAGCAAGCACCTTTGAAAATGACCGACGTGGTAGCATTTTTGGGCAAGCCCGCGACCATCTTGCGCATCGTGGAGCTGGTTGGTGACTCAAACACACGCTGTTTTGCAACTGCTCAGCTGTTGGCACTCAAGCCGTGAGAATGGTGTCGCCATGAATGCTACTTCTCACATGACGCCCTGCGTGTTCAATAGATTTTTGCCATTATTGTGTTTGGAACATTGGCCGACAATGGCACCATCAAGTTGGGTGACAAGGAGGGCAGCATCTTCAACAACAAAATGCCACCTCTCAACTTTGGCATTGCCATTGGCGTGCTCGGGTTTTTGGATGCCACCGCCTGGCTTTGCGTCAGTTTCCTGCACCACACCTCGGGTCTCCTCAAGCCTTACAAGCCCACCGTCAACTACGTGCGCATCGGCCTCGACTTCTTCTTGTACGCGCCTGCTTCCATGTCTTGCGCCTGGCATCTCTTGGAAAGGTTTCTCTTCCACCCGCATGCCTCATCTGATGTTGTTGGTCTCTTTTGCTTGTCTGGCTCCCAGCTCGTTGATGTTTATGATTGCTGGCGCGGCTCTGGCGGCACAGTGGAACAAAGTTAGCTCTGATGCCAAGGACGCGATTGGCAGCAAGTACCTCAATGCGGCTCGCACCGCCATTGCCTTTAGCTTTTTCCTGTGGCTCCTCTACGTAAGTAGCCATCGTACCGGGCGCTTTTGGTTGATGGTATCGTCTCCTTGTGGCTTTTACAAGAACGAAATAAAAGATAACATCAGCAGCAAGATCTCGTGGGGGGCCGAGCGGGCCGACTCGTACGACGAGAACCTGCTAGGCATCAAGACTTTGCTCATGATCATGCCTGACTGGGTGGTTTGTTGTGTTGTGAGTAGATTGCCTCGGCATACTTCAGCTACACGGAGCTTTCCGAGCCAGAGGAGGATTACGGTACGCGGCAAACTCTTGTCACCACAATACGTGTCCCTGACTTGCAGGACCTTGCCTCATGCTCGTGCTGGTTGGGTGCGCAGACTATGTCGGTGCGGCCGAGCCTGCTGACGAATCGTTTGCCTACAACGAGATGGAGGATCCCGACAATCACCCCGTTCAACCCACAATGCAAAGCTATTAAGCGCGGTGATCAGGGATCAGTGATCTTTGCCATGCTGCTCTGGGCATGCGTTGCTTCTTCAGGAGGACTCGCGGTGCCTGGCATGCCACAGTCTGTGCGATGCCCACGAAAATGACCATGAACGAGAGAATAAGCCTCTTTGGTTGTCCTCGAGGGCAAAGGCTTGATGGCCACTTTGATTGATTTATGCCGGGAAAGCGGCTCAAGCGTCTTGCTCTCCGTACCTGCGTTGCTGACCTCGTCTGTTGATAGCAGTTTCAGTCCGGGACCCCACCCTTGGCGCTCTGCCCGTCTGTCTTTCGGCCCGGATAATTAATTTTTTTCCATACCCCAACAGCCCCAGGTCGTCCTCACGACCAGCCCAATTTTTTTGTCCTTTCATCCACCATGCACGAACCCCGAGCAACCCCCCCCACCCCCCCCCACCCCTACAGCTACAATCAAGAAAACTCAGCAGGCCACTAGCTACGCCTCTCCACCCCAACTGCGTCGACACAACGACAGCCACCGGCCGAGGACTACCAACTGTTGAGCCACGTCGGGGAGCCAAAAAGCAAAAGCTAAGCACTTCAACCCAATGTGTTACAAAGAATACACTTTAACTCATTTAAAGTATAACAAAGTGTGCCATGGAATGTTACTTTAGAGGAGTATAGATGAGAACGAGAGATTGAGGACACAAAGGCAGAGGTGAACG